ACACAGCAGGCCTCCAGTTCTCCCGGACTAAGGGCAGACCTGAGTGGGTGGGGCCAGGAAAGAATGTATAGGAAAGGCCCTATGACCAGAATGGGTCAGGGACCTCAGCCCCTTTAACCAGGTCCCTCGTGGCACTGATGGGGGAAACAGAAGAAGCAGTGTACAGTCAGATGTCCTTGGCCAACCTCATTTGTGGACCTTCCTACTGAACCCTCTGCTGCTGCTTCTAGAAACTTCAGCCTCCTCCAGAGCCTGTGTAGGACAGAGACCTACCTTCTCACTCACTCCAGGTTCCCAGTATGTCCAGCTTCATCTGGAAAAGGGTTGGGTGGGGGAAGGGGAAGATTTGAAGTGGTAGCAACTGCCCCCACTGCTCTGCCTTTCAGGCCTTTTTTCCTTCACCTGATGCTCCCTGGACCTCAAGACTTTTAGTAGCTTGGGATCACAGCCAAGCTACTGCAGCCTCTGCCTAAGCAGTCTGTAGACTCCTGCAGGGCAAGACCAAAGCCCATAGGAGAGTAAGTCAGGTAGCCAGGGCAGGGACCAGGGGAGTAAGTCCATGCATTCACTGTCAGTGATGAGTGCTTGTGGCCCTGTGCTGCCCACCTACTCTCCCGCCCACCTCTCTGTATCAAGGGTACACTCCAGCACTGGCTGTGGGTTTCCAAAGCCTAGCCTTGACATAGCCATGAGCAGGGAACATGCTCTGGGCACAGCCAGCCCAGACTTGGACATTAGAGGTCTGGAAGAAGCGAGGAGGGGGCCACGGGAAGGCACGAGGTCCTGGGGAGAACTGGCTCCCGACTAGAGAGGTGACTGATGGCGGGCGTCGAGAGACAGGCTGTCAAGGGCTCAGGAGCCTTGGTAGCGGGGCCCCAGCCCGCTCGCCCCCACTACCCAGCGGCGGCCAGTTTCAGCTCCCGGCGCCCTCGCGTCCGCCTGGGCGCTGGGCCGGCGCCAGGCGGCTGGATCCATGGCTGCAGTTGGCTGAAGGCCGGACGGCGCGTCCCTCGGGGCTCCCAGGCAGCCGACTCTGGCGGCCAGGCAGGGAGGGCTGCGGCCGGCGGGCGGCTGGTGAGCGGCGGGAGCCGGGGGACCTAGGCGGCGGCGGCAGCGCTGCGGAGGCTGCGGTCAGCGGGTCCCCGCAGAGGGGCCGCGTCTCCCGCACTAATTGGCCCTTTCCCAGCCGCCTTGGCCGGTAATTGCTGCTTCAGGGGGTGGAAGGTGGGGTAGTGGCGGAGAGAGAGGAGGGGGCGCTGCTTCCGGAGCCGGGACCAAGCTGCTGGAGTTGAGCCACCAGGCCGGCAGGAGGCGCGTCGGCGTGTGGGGCCCACGCAGGCTTTGCGCTCGCGCTCTTTGGTCCTCGCGATGGTCCAAGCAAGCTGGGTTAAACCCAGGGGGTGGGAAGGCTGCTTGGGAGCAAGCCACAGAAGTGTCATCAAGCCCTCACCAAGATCCAGTGACTTCTTCCAACCGCTTCCAGTGGGGGGCAGGGGGAGCCTAGGCAGCAGCTTTAGAAAAGACTCTGGGTGGCCGTGGGGGGGACCTGAGCGGGGACAGGAAGACACGTGGGGAGATGGAACAGTAGGTAGCCCTTCTGCCTCCTCATCCAGCAGTGTAACCTGGGGAGGAAGCGGACAGGAAGAGAAACACTTTCTGGGTGGATGGGGAAGCTGTGCAGCCAGGATGCCCACTGAAGTCCTTCCAGGCTTAAGTTCTTAGGGAAGATCCAAGGGTTTCCCCAGAGTCCTGTATGATACTTACATCTGCTACAGCCAGGCTGCACCCTGACTGAGCCCTGGCTCCTGCTCAGCTGCCTTCCTCTAATTTGGGAGAGGGCATTTCAGCAGGTGGCTGTGTGAAGAAGCTAAGTTTCCCAGACCTGTATAAGAGAGAGACTGAAGAATGGTGTTCAGAAAGAAAAAGCATTCACCATACTTGTTAAAGTTCGGTAAGGCAGACTTTATTCAGGACCTTTGAAATAGGCATAGGACCACTGCGGGGGGTGGGGTTGGGGTTGCAGTAAGATAGAGAGCTCGGGCTCACCTCCCAATACAGCATTGGCAAATGGCCATTTATAGCCAAGGAGCAAGGAAAAGTGTACCTTCGGAGTGCCCAGGCATGGCCCTCCTCCACCCTGTAC